CTGTATTAATTCAAAAGTAATTCGGTTAACCAACACCATCTCGTGCCAAAATGCTTAACAAATAAATAAATTCAAGGAAATACATTGTAAATGAAGAGAGTTGTATCTTTATTAATGAATAAGATAATAAATAATAAAGTATTATTTTGATGGCAAGAAAATATTATTGATTCTTAATATAAGAGATCAATATCTAATTTAAGAATATTAAACAAATTAATATTAATTAAGTTAATTGTTTGTAATAGATGTATGTTTATTTTTTGAAAATATCCTCATCAACATATGCATTAAAATTATTCATTGACAATGGCATCACTAAACATATGCAATCAGTAAAAGTATTTTCAAAAGAAAATTATAAATTTAGGAGACAATGTAAATTAAAACCTTATATGTAGGATCAAAATCAACCTCTTGTTTATCTCTAATATTAAGTTATTATTTTGTAAAATTTTAATTTTTTTCAATTTTTTCATCGGATCGAATCAAACCTAGTCAAACCAAGAGGATATTTGAATGAAAATAAAACCATGATTTTAAAAATAATTTTATAGTATACCAAATAAATATGTGGAAGAGTTTGCCTGATTTACAGAAAAGTACTTTTTTAAAAGCACTTCTATGTTTGTCCAAACACCCCCCAAGTTAACACCAACTCATCCCTCTCCCTTGGACTCGGAGCCATGGTCAAGTCAGGACACAAGCTGCTATCTAGTGTTGGGATGGACATCCTTTGGGCCGAAATCAGAGGATATTAAACTTTCTATTGTATAAGAGGGGCCCAATTTTTTTTTTTTGACCAGCAAAGAGAAATTCATTGAAACAAAAGAACAGGGAGGTTCAATAAAGAAAAGGCAAAAACACAACCAACAAAATAACAAGGAGACAAAAAAAAGCCAATAGGCTAGCCAATTCCCTCCCTTCTGGCATCTGAGGTTTGTTGGTCAGGATTCACAGTATCGTCAATCTGTGCTTCACGAAGGATGATGGTAGCTAGAGGAGGTGGAGATTCTGTTATCAGACTATTAGGTCCCACCTCCCTTGAAGCCAAAGAACCCAAACAGTCAGCTGCAGAGTTACCCTCACGAGGAATGAGAGAAAAGGAGACAAATCTTCGTTTTTGCATCGAATCAATGATTTCTGTCAACAAGCCATGAAGAGTCCATGGGTAGTGACAGAAAGAACAAATGGTTACTGCTTTATAAAGGTCTTGACAGTCCATCTCGATGATTACAGGTTGCAAGTCCCATTCATAAGCTAGATGGACAGCCTTACCTACAGCTAGCATCTCTGTGTGAAAAGCAAAATAGGCATACGCTTTTTCAGCCCAGCCTTTGATCAACAATCCATTTGAGTTTCTGCAAACATTTCCAACACTCGCTTTTCCATTCTTCTTACAGAAAGAACTATCACAGTTTATTTTGATTGTATTGCTTTGCGGTTTCCTTCACTTGTAGCTCGTTTTGGTTACTGTAAAGTTGGGTGCCTTTGGGGATAGAGAGTTCACTTCCCAAAATTCCTTCATGGATCTATTAGCCATCTCTATGGCTTCGGAAGGATTCAAAACCACTTGTTTAAAGGTCATTCAGCATCTCAGCTTCCAGATAGTCCATGGCATAGAGGCAATATAGGCTTTATTGTAATCAAAGTCAAGATCATTGATCATCAGAAACTCTTCTAGCCAGAGCCCCATGCTTCTTATTTTCGTAGGAGATAAGTAAATGCCCATAGAGCAGCCAAACCAAGCAACTTTGACCCAATCACATAGCAAAAATAAGTGTTCAAGGGATTCGGTTTCATCCCCACAGACAAGGCATAGGGGGTTAGGAGCACATCTTCTCCTATATAAAGCTTCTTTTGAGGCCAGTGCATTGTTTAAAACATGCTAGATAAAGTTATGTATCTTGGGCATGACTTTTAGTTTCCAAACTGCAGACCAAATTCTACTGTCCACTTTCTTTGATGGAGAAGCTCAATTTAATCCAATTCTGCCTTTGGTCGCAGAATTTTTTGCTCTATACCCAGCTTTAACACTATAGTTCCCATCTTTAGCAGGCACCCAAATCATCTTGTCATCTCACGGAGAGGTTGTAAGAGGGAATTTAACGATCAAGTCCAGATACTGCTTATCTATTTCCTGATCAATGGGTTGCAGGTTCCAGCTCCTTTCTTGGATAAGATTAGCCATAACCATATCTTAGTTAATTGAGGAGCCGCTATTGACAAGTATTCGAAACTGCTTAGCCCCAGGGACCCAAGGATATTTAAAATCATCAATATAGTGCCCAGTCCCTACCTGCCAACAGAGGTTTTCCTTTAAAAAATCTCGCCGAGCTAGTATACTATCCCAGACCCAAGAAGCTTTAGACCCTTTAGCAGCCTTCATAAAAGAAGTGTTCGGAAAGTAAATGCTCTTTAGCATGTGGACCCACAAGCTATCAGGATTATATAGAATACGCCAGGTAGTTTTGGCTAATAAGGCAATATTGAATTCCATAAAATCCTTGAATCCCAAGCCCCCCTCTTTCTTAGATTTTGACAGTTTTTTCCAATTAGACCAATGAATTTTACCAGATCCTTCTGAGTTACTCCAGAAGAAATTTGAGACTAAGCTATCCAGAGCCATACACATATTCTTTAGGAATTTAAAGCAAGGCATAGGATAGATGGTGATAGCACTTACAGCTGCTTTGATCATGATTTCATGCCCCTGCAAAGGATAAGCATTTCTTTTTCTAGCCTTGCACTTTCCTTCCCATCTTGTCTCTCGCATAAGCTAGGCTAGCATTTTTTGACCTTCCCCACAGAATTGGGAGGGCAAGGTATCTCCCTGGATCTTCTACTTTTGCAATATTTAGGCACTCCACAATCTTTGCCTTCACATCGTCCGAAGTGTTCCTTGTAAAGAAAAGGCTAGATTTCTGATAGTTAACTTGTTGACCCGAGACATTACAATAATCCTGCAGAGACTTCATGAAAAGGCTGCAGTTATCAATGTGAGCATTCAAAAAGATAATAGCATCATCCGCAAAAAGACTATGTGTTAACATAGGGCCCAAGAGGGCCCAATCACTCTTTCCATGAGAACATGGGGTATTATTGTTAAAGGTTCTTCATCTTTAAGAGATGACTTGTACTACCAACAAGAATTAGTCCAGTTGGTAAGGAGTCAACTCATAACCTACAAGATCATGAGTCTGAATCCCATTGTCGATGTAAGGACCTTGTTGGTGGGCGATTTGTAAGTACTTTTGTAAATACTCTCTGAACCTGGAGGCATGTGATAGCCCTAATGAGTCCCCGGAACCTAACTCACCTAAACTTTTTTGTACTAAAAAAGAAAGAGGTGACTTGTACTTTTCACAACTGTACACGGCTTACACACTAGATGATTGGTTGACTTTGACTTTGCTTTTGTCTTTTTCACTGCCATGCATATTCTTTCACGGCCAACTTTCACCCTCCTGGTCATCCTAGCAATGGTTATTTTGGTTATGTTATGCTTATTTTCTTCTTTTCTCTATTATATATATTTAATTAATTATCTACAATGTGTTTTTAAATTTTTTTCGATCACAAATATTTTTATTTTCTAATTTCACTAATAAACTATTTTTATTTTATCACAATAATTTTAGGTATTTTTTAATTATTATCACATTAATAACATAAAATATCAAATACTACTATTTAATAAAGTCTATGTCATTTTCAGTCATTTTACTATCAAACTAATTTTTCTATTAATCATCTAAACAATTTTTTACTTTTTCAACTAACTTTTTATAAACACCTATCAAACATAAATCACATTATATTAACTGATTTTTACTTTAATTTCAGTTATTAAAATCAGTTAGAATATAAGTCAGTTTTGCCTACCGCCTATCTAAACACACCATAATGGGTTGTTGGTTTTTTTTTTTTTTTTTATTCCCTGTGGTGGCGTCCTCTCATATTCCTACTCTCCGAGACTCAGCACTTTTGTGTTTGGTGGTATTGTTTCTGGTTTAATATGGGACTTAAGTTTTGGTTGGCCTATGAAGTGCTGACTGCCTTTTAAGCCTATTGGTTGAAACTTCATGTGATTTTTTTTTTTTTAAAATTTGTTTCCCATTCTGCTGGCTTACCATTCACGATAGTTTTGTCGTAACGTGTCTTTTTTTTTAAAAAAAAAAAAGATTTTAGGCCTCTAATCTAGTCCTCACCTAAAAAAAAAAAAAAAAAAAGAAGGCAGCGGAATAAGTTATTATTAGAGTTTTTTTCAAAAAAGCTTTGCAATTTTTTTTGAGAAGGGTCCGAGGCTCCGAGCAAGACCCTAAACATATGATAAGACTCTTCATGTATTAGGAAATAAAAGATATGATACTAACTATCATATTATAATTATAACATAAATTAATATATATATATGTATATACACACAGATATATAATATGCTGGAATACTGAAAAGGAAAAATTTAAGGAGGGATAACACTGGTTCAAAATTGAACAAATGTCACAATGTAAATTGTTTTTAAGGAGAACGAATTTCTAGCACTAAATATGGACAATTTTTTAATAAGAATATAAATCTTAATTTATTATGTGGGGAGGGATTAGTCTTTTTTTTTCTACTGGACCCAATCTCAATTGGATCTCATATAAGTCTTATTTTTTGTTTATATTTGGGATTGCTTTAAGTTTTCATACTATAATGTACTATAGTAATCGAATTTTATATGCATCATTTTATTTTACTTTGTTCTTGTATTAAAAAAATAAAAGTAATATATTTTATAATTTATAATAAAAATATATTTTATATTTATAATTTCAAATAAAAATAAGAAATAATAAACTCAAAATCCGCACATGTGAAAACTAAAAAGTAATTTCACCAAAACACTAAAAAGTAAATTAATTGTGCAACGCCAAAAAGTAAATTAATTGTGAAAGCTTGTTGGGTTAAAAAGGGAACGACGACAATAATTTGAGCGCAAAGGAGGCCATCCACCCCGTTCTCGCTGGTTTAGGGTTTTGCTTGGCTTGGGTTGAGTTGTGCCGGAGGGTTTCGATTTCTTTCCCGGAAAACTCTCTTTCACCTTCTCAGCGCCGAAACCAGTAGCGACAGCAGCCATGGCGAGCACCAAGGTTCAGAGGATTATGACCCAACCCATTGTAAGTTCATTTACTCTTCGCTGTTTACTAAATTGTGTCGATTATATTTTCTCATTCACCACTAATTTCCTCTATTTTGATTTCCCTTTTCTTCAGAATCTGATCTTCAGGTTTCTTCAAAGTGTAAGTGAAATTCCCTTTTCGGTTTCGGATTTTGGTTTGTCCTGAGGTCTTCTGGGTGTGTCGGACTTTTTTTACTGCTGCTGGAGTGAGAAACTTTTTGTGAATCGTGTTTTTGTGTGATTTTCTTTGTTGCAGAAAGCGCGCATTCAAATTTGGCTTTTTGAGCAGAAAGATTTGCGAATTGAAGGCCGTATAATTGTAAGCTTGCTGTCATCATCGTACTGTTGTGTGCGAAATTTACAATTTGAAACCTGTTACTCCGCCTTAGCATTTCTTCTTTTTTCTTAGGATCACTTGGATATGATCTTTGTTCTGAAGCTTTATTTGTCTGTCGAATTAAACAGAATATAAAAAATGGTTTATATGTTGGCGTTTGATAGTAGTATTGAAACGAAACTGTACCGCAGCTGAGTCCAGATTTTGAGTTTGTTTTATTTTATCCTTTGCTTTACAACAGTAGACTGCTTCCGCTGGCAGATATCGCAAGCACAGAATGAACGTAGTTTGCATATTTTCTACTATTTCAGCCCTCAATTCAAACCCTTTAAACTGGCTTGGAACTTCCCGATGTTTGCTTTGGTTTATAAAATTGTTGACATTAGCTTGGAGATCAGTAGACTTCTTACACACGACCCAGGGATTAAATTTTCTTTGTGGAGCACAATCATGGAGTGATATTTTGTATGTGTTCCTTTTGTTGCCGCAGCCTAATGTCCTGCTTCAGAACTTCCTATTAGTTCTTTGACTGTCTAAACTTGTTTTTGGGTGGTTTCTTGGGCTCTAATTAATTTTTCTGAATATTATAACTTTATTCATGTGTGCGTGGCGTGTGTATATTGGACTGGTATTGTGTCTTAAACCTAATATTTTGAAGAATATGTCTATTCACTATCTTTGGTTGAAGGCCAAATTAAATTGTATGTTCCATTGCTGATCAGGGTTTCGATGAATACATGAACTTGGTTCTGGATGATGCTGAAGAAGTAAACGTTAAGAAGAAGAGCAGAAAATCCCTAGGTAAGTTGTGAGACAGTGTTGCATCGTTCTGTTTTTTATGTCATGGATTTTTCTTACTAGTTTCATTTTTTTTCCAAAACTTCAGGTAGGATTTTATTGAAAGGAGACAACATAACTCTGATGATGAACACGTAAGCAATGCTTTCTCTTTGCTACTTGCATGTGTGTGTTGATGGCAACTTTTAGTAAACTAGTTTTCTACTAACTCCTTGTATTGTCTTGTTCAGGGGAAAATGATGGGGGAGCAGCACCCTCTTGAATCACATTTTGGGGGTGTCTTTTTTGGGAGGTCAACCAAAGAGATGCCTTTAAGACTTATAGCCTTTTATCATATCTTTGATAATATTTCAGCATCTCAGTAGAAGAATTATGTGTTGATCAAACTTCTGCTTTCTGTAAACCCTTGTAGGTTTTCTATTTTATAATGTCATCTAATTTCCTGTGGATACTCCTACTCCGTTTGTTTTTGCCTTTTGTTTTCTTGTTCTTGATGCAAAGGGCGGTTTTATGAAGCTCCCCTTATGCTTGCTCCTTCAATTCGAAAAAAAGGGGATGGTCACAGCAGGCATTAAAGTTTTCTATAGAAACTCCTGCCATCACTCAAAATGTGACTGTAACAGTGTGATGAAGGCGTGAAACGCGATCAACATGACCTCGAGGGGACCTGTAAAGCTAGTGCAAGGGGTAGCTGTATTGTGAAAACATCTTGTCTCAATAATAACACTTGCGTGTCCTTTAACTCCTTTTTCTTGGTTTGGATAGGAGGGAGAGAAATGGAGATTAAAGAATATTGGGAAGAAAAACTGCAAAAAATGGTTTAGGAAAGGTCTTATTTTTAATGTTCCCACTTTCCTTCGGCCATGTCACGTCTTTAGGTTGGCAAAAAATAAAATCAAGCCTTTAGCAAGTGTTCCCCCTACCTGTAACCACTTGAAATTTTTTCTTCTTCTTAATTTTCGTGGGTAACAAAATAAGACTTTAATTACTTAAATTAAGCCTCCAAAAATTGCGTGAGATCTCAGCAGTTCTAGTCGCTTTCATGGGGTCAGCACTCACCAAGTGGCTTAAAACAAAAATCAACTTTGTGAAATTAATATGCTGACCAGATGTGGAGCTCTATTGAACAAGGATCTCCTCCATTCTAAGGCAATCTTCTCTGGTTGCTTCAACAAATAATAACATATAGTGCGTAAGTTGACTCGAAGCCCTTGGAAGTAGTATTCCCATCCCATCCACAATATTTGATATGTGGTTAGGAATTAGCAACTAACATTGTTAGATCATTGTTGATAAGATATTGGCAACTAACAGACATTTCACCATTCACAATTATTTGATATGAAACCATATTTACACGCTACTCTCTCTGGTTCTATTTGTAAGTGTCAGATTTGAAAGTGTATGATCCATTTTATAAATTTCAACTTAGACTTGTCTTAATATTTAATATATATTTTTAATTTTTTTATTATTTATTCTCTCTCTCTCTCAACAAATTTTTCCATGTATTTTCTTTTATCATTTTTCTTATTGTCAGAGCATATTTAGAAATAAAAATATATTTTTTAAGTTTTAACCTATTTATTGATTTTAAGTAATTGTTCGTTATCCGTGAACTAAGTTATTTAAAGCTTACCGAAGAGAGTACATAATAATTTGATGTGAATCCCATATATTGCACAATCGTGTGAAAACTTCCCAAGTCACTTTAAACATAAGCTTTTTTTTGTGAAGTCCACTCTGAAAGCACACCAACCCACCTTCGCTCCGGTTTTCGCTTATCCGTCTTGCAGGAAGACAAGCATCTTGGTTTGGTGTATAAGAATGATTAACAATTTGTGAATCATCTCTAATAAATACCCCTTATTATAGGTATATATCGCCATAGCAATAATATCATCTCATAAAATATTCCAGGAGGCTAGAAAAGATTTAGCATCGTACTCCTGCACCTTTTGTTGCTGGATCTTTGCCTTTCTTTTTTAAAAGATTACCATGCAATCTCACGTTTTCTTTCACGAGCCAAATGATTAAATGGCAAGTTTCTTGGCATCATTCCTGGGCCAATTGAATATAATTACACTGAGGAAATTTCCAATGAGCATAAAAATAGCACTACTTACAAGACAAAAAACTACGATGATTCAAAAAGGAAAAAAAAAAAAAAACAGACAAAGAAAAAGAAAGAGGAAAAAAGGAAAAACATTCACAAGGGCTGTTTGTAGTTCAGCTAGTTTGATTCCCAACTTATACAATACCAGACACCTTATGATACACATCAAACTTTCTATATCACATTAAAGCACCTTATGTCCTGAACCATATTGTATGAACTATAGGTTAAGAAACACAAACTCTTCGACAGCAGGCACAGACCCTATCTTGTTAAGAGTCTCAGTGTTTGGTTCTTCATCAACACCAATAGCCATAATGGCCTTCCTTCCCCTTGAAGTTCTTCCCACACTCATGAAGCTCACATTCACATTCTCATTACCCAGTATGTTCCCAACTTGGCCAATCATGCCTGGTTGATCTACCTGACGACACAATATTAAGTTTCCCTCCAAGCTCACATCCACATCAAATGATCCAACCTTTATGAGATGGGGCACCCCAGATTTCACTTTGCCTTCAATGCTTATCACTCCATTCTCAGATACAGCACTTGCAAACTTGGATTCTACGTTTGATATCAGTACCTGAATGGAATCCACTGGGAGCTCTGGAGATGAATTGACCACAACTCTTTCCTCACTGATCCGGAGACCCTTCTGCTTTGCTATGAAATCTGCATTCACAAGGTTGATGATTGAATCCGATATAGGTTCAATGATGCCTTTTGTGATCATAGCTCGCAGAAGCCTTGTGTCCAAGTCATCTGGGTCTCTGGCTGATAGATAAACCACTTTTACAGATTTAATACCACTTCCTCCAGACACCAACTGTACAGCTAGCCTGCCTAGCTTCTCGGCTAGCTCGACAAAAGGAGCCAGTTCAGACATCACCTGATGACAGGAGCCATGTTTCAGTTCAGTTGCTTCAACAATATAGTAATACCAAGTCAGAGGTTGTGATCAGTCATATTGTTTACCTCAGGAGCAACCATAGGAGCATTAACCGCGGTTGCAGAAAGTTCCCCTTTCAAAGCTCCAAGCACAGCCTCTGCTATTTCAATGGCTACACCCTCCTGGTGAGCCAGAATTTGACGCAGGTAACTTGGTCAACCCTAAAGAAGAGAATTGAAACAGGAAGCTGAAGGATAAACCAGCAAGTCAGAGGGTAAACCAACACAAACCTGTGCCTCTTTCGTGCTAGCTCCAAGATGAGGCGTGACAGTGACATTCGCATGTTGAACTAACTTACTCCCTGGAGACGGAGGCTCCTCGGTGAAGACATCAAGTGCAGCCTATTCCCCATCATATGATATATATATATATATATATATATATATAATAAAAAATTATAACAAGTAGCACAGTTCACAACTCAGAGACCATATAATACACGGGAAAAGAATTCAGCAAACACGTAAAACAAAAGGGTTGTTCATATTCATACCTGAGCGACAATTCCACTATCAAGGGCTCTGACTAATGCATCTTCATCTATAACTCCACCTCTAGCGACGTTGATGATGCGGACTCCCTTCTTCATATTGGAGAAAGTATGGTCATTGAAGATCTTGTTAGTGGTGGGGGTGAGAGGCATGTGGAGGGAGATAAAATCTGCAGTGGATATGGCCTGTTCAAATGACACCAGATCGACTCCGACTGCACGAGCCCGGTCTGCAGGTGCATATGGGTCATGAGCAATCACGTTCATACCCAAACCTTTTGCACGCCTAGCCACTTCAGATCCTACTTTACCAAATCCCATTATTGCTATTGTCTTCCCCACCAGTGAAACCCCTACATATTTGCTTCTTTCCCATTTTCCTGCAAAATTGTATTGTATCTTGTCATATCCTCAGTAGATATATCTCTACATGTATAGTTTGAATAAAAAAGATTTTGGAGCAAAATAATTTTTGTCTTTTCCGGTCAGCTTTTGGTTCTTGGCCTTGCAATGGATTTACCAAATATTGACCTAGAAAGACGCTATGGAGACTTCTCACTTTTGAGTTTCATTTCCTCATCAGCTAAGGAAAATATAGAATCTTACCGAATTTCAAGTACTTATGACAAGTTTCTATGTGAAATTAGACATACCCCTTGATAGATCCACAAATAGTAATGGTCAAATCTAATTATTGCCGCATTTGGTCAGCCAAAAAAATGCAAACAAGGGCAGAACTACTGAAGGACGTTTACTCTTTCTCTGTTTAATGTTTTCTCCTCTGTTTTTGGCTTCTGTTATGTTTTTCTAGTGGGAAAAATAGAATGGTTTTGCTTCTCTCTTTGACGAAGTCAACGCTGAAAGTTAATCCAGAATCCATTTCTTACCAGCTTTCATGGAGGCGTCAGCCTGAGCAACATTTCTTGCCATGGCAGCGATCAGAGCGATCCCATGCTCTGCCGCAGCAATAGTATTGGCCGTCGGAGCATTAACGACCAGACACCCAAACTCCGTCGCAGCTTGCAGATCTACATTATCAATACCCACTCCAGCTCTTCCCACAACCTTCAACTTCCCCTTTGCAGCCTCAAACACCTGCCTCGTCACCTTTGTACCACTCCGTACAATCAAAGCGTCAAAGGAAGCGATCTTCGAGCAGAGCTCTTCCGGCGACAGGTTGTACGCACACTCAACGTGACCAAACTCTCTCAACACCTGAAGACCAGAGTCTCCGAGCTTCTCGGAAACCAAAATCGTGGGTTTGGTACCCAAGGAGGTAAGTTCTAGATCGACGTTGGGGGTTAAGACAGAGGACTGAGAAGGGTCAAGCGTCTTCAAAACATTGTTGATGAGGAGAGAGAAGCGTCGAGAATGGCGTGGGAGCTTCAGAGAGGTGATGGGTATGGAGGAAGCAGATGTGTTGTGGATGAAGGAAAGAACAGAGGATTTTGAGTTCAACTGTGAAGAAGAAGAAGAAGAGAGGAAGGCGGGCTTGGCAAAAGAAACAGAAGAGGAAGCCATGGAAGAGAGATAGAGAGAGAGAAATTTTGTTCAGTTATTTTGAGGGGTGTGCTTCAATGAGAGAGAGAGAGTGAGTTCTCACATGTTTTTGGAGGGCCTCTTATGGAAGAAGGAAGCAAGGCAGGCGAGCGGCAAATTCAACTCTTTCTTCCCCACATTCATTGATTGTGATTTTTGTGAAACTGACCCCTTTTAAAATTCTTGAATTCTGTAATAAATGGTACTCCTCCGGTCTTTAATATAGGACTCAATTGGTGAGTTGGTTTTGGTCCTAAATATAATACTCATTTTTTATATTTATTAATTTTCTCTAAATTACCCCTATAGATACTCCTTCAACCATAATCAAGTAGAAGAGAAGAATATGGTATTGAAAAA